AGGGCTTTGGGCTGAAGGCCCAGGGGCTTAGGGCTTATATAAACCCTAAACCCTAAACCCTAAACCCGGTCAGAACTTAGGGTTGAGGGCTGCGCTCCCTCGTCTACTTTTGGGGACTGCAGCCCCCTGGTCCCTAGTACGACAACCATGGCAGACACAGCAGAACCAGAAATGACCTTTTGAGCCTTGGTTTAGGGTTTAGGGTTTAGGGTTTAGGATTCTAGGACCCGGAGTAGGCCTTATTTCCTTTTTTTAGGGTTGGGGTTCCCTTATAGTCCCCTTAGAAGCAAACAGGGCGCCCTTCTTATTCCTAGGTTACTCCTGGGTCTAAGACTCTGTTATGTTTGGAAACCCGAAACCCTGTCCCCTGAACCCTGATCAGGCCGGAAGCGCTCGGACATACGCTGCTCTTTTGGAAGGCAGGGGGAGCAGGTTTAGGGTTTAGGGTTTAGGGTTGCAAGGGTGTAGGGCCTGTAGGGTTTCAGGGTTTAGTGGAATCGGAATTCAGGTTTCAGGATTTCGGGTCGTTTAGGTTTTGTCTTGGTCTAGGGTCTAGGGTTTTTTGGGGTTTCGGGGCTTTCGGGGTGCAAGGTTGAGGGGTTTAGGGCTTAGAGAAAAATGGGTTTAGGGTTCAGGGTTTAGGGGTTAGGGTTTAGGGTCAGGCAAAGGGCTTTGAAACACTTGCCGCTAGAACCTAGCTTAAGGTTTAGGAATCAGCGCATGAAGCATGAAAGATGCGTGAATTTAATGAACACATGAACGAAACGAAGGAAAAGAGTCATGTAATCCTACATTTCGATCACTTGGTGCAACATTACAAGGCAGTGAGACAGTAGATGACTTCCTTCACGCCCGGGTTGCAATGCTAAGGTTTAGGGTTTAGGGTTTAGGGTTTAGGGTTTAGGGTTTAGGGTTTAGGGTTTAGCGTTTAGGGTTTAGGGGACTTTTTGGGAAGGAAGCAAAAAGCATATTATCTTGTCATGAAAGGTCTTTTAGTGTGTGATAGAAAAGCTCTTCCTCATTCATAAGGTTCTCCGGGCAGTTTCTTGTGTCTTGGTCTTTATTATGAGATTGAGGAAGAAAGAATCACCCAGACCATTAGGATGTAGAGAACGTACGAAAAGACCTTAATTTTGCTACCTTATGAACGTATCCTATAATAAGACTATAAATCTATGGACATATTATATTGAGTTTATAAGCTAGTGAGTGTCGTGAAAGCGCGTACATTATAAGTTAACGCATGAATTACACGCATGAACGAAATGAGCCCACTTTTCCAGGATGAATTCATTCGTGCGGTTATTCACTTCTCCTTTCGTATTCTCTGTTACAATATTAATGTATCCTGTGAACACGGGGTAAAAACCATCCATTACAACTTCATTTCCTTCACAATATTTTCATTAATTAAATTCTCTTCACGTTACGTTTACTGCGTTCGCTCAGTTAATTCGCTTACTTGTTCTCTCTTCACTCTTTCCTAAACCCTAAACCCTAAACCCTAAACCCTAAACCCTACTTGGAGGTTCATGGTACTTACTAACCAATTATAGCTGTACTTATAACCCTACTTATATTACCTCTAAAGGGCCTTATAGGGGTTATCCCAATTATAAGTAGGGTTATAAGCCCAGTTATAAGTGGTTAGTAAGTACCATGAACCTTCAAGTAAACCCTGAATCCTATCAGACCGGAGGCCCCTTGAGAGTCCATCTTGTTGCACTTCCTGAATTAAGGGGGGGCCATATAGAGAACCCTTCTACCTGCTTAAGGAATATTCCTTTGAGTTAAGGGGTTAGGATGCCCAGTAGTACCCTTATTCCCTTTTTGTAGGGTTTAGGTTCCCTTATATGCCCCCCTTAAGCAAAAAGGGCACCCTTTTGAATCCCAGGTTACTGGGCAACCTAGGGGGCATCGGAGTCGCTTGGTCTGCAAAGGAGTACGACGCCGCGCCTCACCCGGAGGTGGGGTTGCCAGCCTGGCGCGAGGACCCTGCAAGCACTGAAACTGCCATGCATGGAACGTACATTGAATATACATTGATACTATTAATAATATATGTATATATATATATATACATATATATATATGTGTGTATATATATATATATGTGTGTGTGTTTCTATATGTATCTATATATTATACACATTGCTTCAAAGTCATAGGGATTAAGGTTCACGGAAGGGTCCAAAGTAGAAGCCCTTGTGTTTGGGCTTTGGGCTTTGCCGTTGCTCTTTCTTGTTGTCTTGAGTCTGGTGTATGGTGTTGAACTAGACCCCAAACCCGAAATCCTAAACCGTGACGATTTAGGGTTTAGGGTTTAGGGTTGAGGGGCTTCGCAGTGCTACCCTAAAACCCTAAACTCCCTGAACCCTTGCATCTCCAAAAGGGTTTAGGGTTTAGGGTCTACTTGGAGGTTCATGGGCAGTTCTAAGTAGGGTTATACGTACCCTGTATAGGCTTATGTTACATGTAGAGTCTTGCCATACCTAAGAACCCTACTTGTAGCTTCCCATTTACCTCCAAGTAAGCTCCCTAACTAAACCCGAAAAGCCAGCAAGTCAGGTCTTTGAGCCTTGAAAGTCTTTTGGGTTTATGGGGCTGAGGGCTTCGGACCCGCCTACTGACCGTTAACCGTAGCCTAATTACATAGGATGTCAAGCAGTACCCGAAACCCCAAGCCCTAAGCCCTAAACCCTAAACCCTGAACCCTATCCTTACTCCTCTCTTGAGGGGATGGGTTCCCTTGTCCCAGAAATCTCGCAAAAGGGCACTCGTCTATCTTACCACGAACTGCTGTCACTACTCCTCCTCTACTTGGAGGTTCATGGGTAGTGATAAGTAGGGTTATAAGTACCCCAAAGAGGGTTATAATAAGTAGGGTTATCAGACCTATAACCCTACTTATAACTACCCATGTACTAGCCTCTGACACCATGTTGCAGAACACTTCGGGAAGCCCAAAATCTCTAAAGCCCCAAACCCCAATATCCTGATCTTGATCCCCAAACCCAGAAAGCAAAGCCCCCCAACTAGAATAGTCTAAACGTTGTGCGAACATGTTCGCAGGGCTTGTTGCAGAAGACTTTGCTGCTCATGAGGTTGAGAACTTGGGGTGTAAGTACTCAGTATAGTGTAAGGGTTTGGATGTTAGGGCTTTTTTCGCCGCGCACCAACCTACTGAAAAGTCATCACAAGGAACCAGCCGGTGGAAGGGAGGGGGGGTGTAAGGGCCCCATCTTCCCCAAATAAGGGTTTGACAGTCCCAAAGAAGGCCGGATAGGGCTCAACAAGGGAATCTGGCCCCCTTTACACCCACCTCCCTTCCACTCTAAACCTAAACCCTAAACCCTAAACCCTAAACCCTAAACCCTAAACCCCATTGGTTCCTTATGACATGTTCAGGTTCACGGCTTTTCAGGTAGGATGGTCCTCGGATAGAATCCCAGGCGCCTGTTCCTGAAAGCGGAGCAGCTGGCCCACCCTAACTGTAGCCCTAAACCCTAAACCCTGAACCCTAAGCCCTAGACCCTAAACCCTGAACCCTGAACCCTGAACCCTGAACCCCAAACCTAAACCCTCTAACTCCACTCCCAGGCCTTGCAACCTCCGATGCCTTGAGAATAGTTTGCCTCAGCCACGATCATTTGGTGCGCCCATCTAAGGAAAGGTAGTAGAAATAGTAGGAAGAGACAGCGGAATTGAATATTCACATTGGTTAGTAATTATGGAGAACTTTTTTCTCGGTGGTACTTGCGCCACGTACTCTCTTTGTCTCTTTGTTCATGAAAGTTAGAGTCGTGCACATGCACTGGTTTTTGTTCTGCCTGCTTCAATGGTGGGCCAGTTGCGTGTTGGCAAAACCCTAAACCCTAAACCCTAAACCCTAAACCCTAAACCCTAAACCCTAAACCCTAAACCCTAAACCCTAAACCCTAAACCCTAAACCCTAAACCCTAAACCCTAAACCCTAAACCTAAACCCTAATTTTGGGTTACACCGACTTTAGCACCGAGGCACATCCAGCCCTAAACCCTTAACCCTTAACCCTTAACCCTAAACCCTAAACCCTAAACCCTAAACCCTAAACCCTAAACCCTAAACCCTAAACCCTAAACCTAAACCCTAATTTTGGGTTACACCGACTTTAGCACCGAGGCACATCCAGCCCTAGACCCTTAACCCTAAACCCTAAACCCTAAACCCTAAACCCTAAACCCTAAACCCTAAACCCTAAACCCTAATCCCTAAACCCTAAACCCTAAACCCTAAACCTAAACCCTAATTTTGGGTTACACCGACTTTAGCACCGAGGCACATCCAGCCCTAGACCCTTAACCCTAAACCCTAAACCGTAAACCGTAAACCCTAAACCCTAAACCCTGAACCGCAATTCCAACTCGGGTGCAATGATCATGGAGAAGAAATTTGTCTGGGAGGTCCTGTCAAAGCTGCTGGATCCCTTTGCCATTGCTGCTGCAAGCCTCACTGCCAGGAAGGCCCTCAACCCTAAACCCTAAACCCTGACACCTGAACCCTGAACCCTAAACCCTAAACCCTAAAGTGCCTTCACAGAAAGGACGAAGATGGGTATTTACTAAAATGGGGGAGCCCAATATAGATCTCCAAATAGTAGGATCTCCTTATATTAAGGACTTCATGTAACTTACTGTTGGTTAGTAGGGAATGGGGGAATGAGGTACCCTATATGATACCTTTAAGAGGGTATATATATATATGTACATAGGGCCCTAATTCCCCCATTCCCTGCTAGCCAACAGTAAGATAAGAACGAATATTCGTAAGCACAAGCTTATTGGGGTGGTTTCCCTTGCGTGTGAGCATAGACTCGAGCAGAGACTTGTATGGAATATCCCGACCGTGCTCTAGGCTGAGTAGTTCCGAGCAAGGTCCGCGCCGTGTGCGTTTCTCCAAGCGGACGGCTGATCGTTCCGTACCTTCAGTACAATCCCGACAATCGTTCTGCGGTGAAGCTGATGCAAGCATTGCCAACCATTGAGATCGGAGAGGTTATCCGCATTTGTGTCGATTTTTCGCTTGCACCGTTGAAGAATCAGCAGTACAAACCAGATCCATCAACCTTCTTCTTGGGCTGGCTGCTCGGTCCGTGTGTCAAACTACGTGAAGTTTCAATCTTCCATGTCTTCGGTAGCCCCGACTATGATGGCCGCCTCTTTGCCCCGCTTCTGCAACATTGGGCACGCAGCTGTCCCTGTCGTGTGGGTGTGCATTAGTGAAGCATGTTTTCCAGTTGCACGCATCTAAGCAACCGTTCGACTACTACGAGCTAAGTCTACAAGCCATACGTGTACCTTCGGGTTGAAGGAGTCATGATCCTCTACTTTTTTCCAAGTTGCCCAGGTCTGGAAGCCCTATGTTTTCTTTCCGCCCACCCTGAGGACATTGTCAAGGCCTTGCCGGCATTCAAAAACTTGCTGTCCCTCCAGATGTACATATCTGCAAAGCACAACATCTCGGCGGCGGATATTCTAGGCATGATCGCGGATTGCTCAGTATCCCTGCGCAAACTACACCTATGCATACATTCTGACACAGAAGACATCACGCAATCTTTGCAGCGCTGTCTGCACGCACTCCCTCTCCGTGAGGTGGAGCTATGTGACGCTGATGAGTTTGGGACGATTGGCCTACTGCCAGGAAACCTGGGACGAATTAGTTGGCCGCGCACGTGCCACACAGTCCACGTGGCATGCCACGGCGAAGATCTGATTTCTTTGGCCAAAGAGATCCGCCTAAGCAATGTTCGCCACCTAGGGGTCCAGGTCAGCAGTGATTCCCCGTTCATGGCAGCGGATGTGAACAACTTCTTGGCCGCATTGACATGCTCCCAGCTAGAGCAACTTCGCTTGGAGATCCCCATGAAAGGAGATGAGATGCCAGCGGATGTGCTCAAGGCCATCCGAGCTGGTGCGGTCACCTTGATCCAGAAGCTGCAGTCGCTGCATCACCTGTTAGTCCTAGACGTATCGAGCAGAACCTTTCTCCGTGGCTTGACACGCCTGGCAAAGCGGCACGGCGTGTTGTTGCGAAAGCCACCCGATTGGATGCCTCTCTTTTAGACGAACATCGGGTGCAGTCCCGAGTAGCCCAAGCTGGTGGCAGGGTTTTCTGGTCTGAGTTTCAAGGACAGTTTAACTAGGGTTTAGGGTTTAGGGTTTAGGGTTTAGGGCTAGGGTTTAGGGTTTAGGGTTTAGGGTTTAGGGCAGTGTTCTCAGGGTGCCCTGAAGAGCCCCTGAGTCACAAGAAGAGACATTATTCAAGCTACGCGTCGTGGGGATCCTTGGTATGATTTGAAGGTTTGTTCCGCGGTTGATTTGGGGGTTCCGAAATTAGGGGTACCTTGTTGGGGTCCTTACTATAGGAGAATCCTACTATTTGGGGATCTATGTTGGGGGTCTTGGGCTCTCTGGACGCTCGTGGTGAAATCAGTGGGCGCGCTCGAGTGCACACTGCCGCATCGGCAAGCGAGCACATGGTCCTGGTACGCAGTAAACTGTCGACTTGCCCTAAACCCTAAACCCTAAACCCTAAACTCTAAACCCTGAACCCATACGGGGCGAGCCACTAGTTGCGAATACGGGGTTCTGAGTCCCCAGTCCAGCGCCGAAACTGGCTAGGTCTGGGTCAGTGCGAACACAGCACATCAAGAGATGGGTTTAGGGTTTAGGGTTTAGGGTTTAGGGTTTAGGGGTTAGGGGTTAGGGGGCCAGGGCTTAGGGACTCAGTTCTCGAATACTGGTGGTTAAGGTGTACTGGTCTTCCTGGAAGCAAGATGCAGGAGATAGTGGCGCCCACCCCGCCGCCAAAGCGGACGTCGCCAAGGAAGCATCGGGAATTCAGTGCGAAGTCGCCTGAGCGGAGCCCCTTGGCCAGCAGGTGTGTTCGCAAGGAGGGTTTAGGGTTTAGGGTTTAGGTTGAAGGGGTGAAAGAAGTTTTTAGGCTTTAGGGCTTAATGGAATTTAGGGTCTTCATGCTGCCCCCTCCGCCCTCCCAATCTCGGGTCTTGGGTCTAGGGAACTCTGTCGAGTAGTACGCCGGTCTCACAAGCCCTGAACTAGAAACCCTCTTAGTTGTAGAGTAGGTAACGTACCTTTAACCTTTTTGGGGTAGTAGAACCCCCTTATAATCCCAAAGGTTAACCTTTAGTTCCCCTGGGTACTGGACAACTAGGCCCTAAGCCCCAAAACCCTAAACCCGTTAGGGCGTCTCCATGCCTGAGACTCTGAAGGTTCGGGGGCTTAGGGGTTCTTCATTTTACGTAGGGTGCCCGAAATCCTTGCTCGTTATTTATTTATTTATTTCTTTTTTTTTTTTTTTTTTTGGGGGGGGGGTGCCAGGGCCTTGGAATATTTTGTATTTCTTTTGTTGGGTTTAAGAGGATCACATTTCATATTCAGGAATATGTTTCGGAGAGTTTGAGCGCCATCCTAGGTTCAGGGTTTAGGGTTTACGGGTCAGAACCGGCTTACTTCTTTGTGTTGCTGTTTAGGGTTCAAGGTTGCGGCACTCGAAAGTTTTGGAGCAAGCGTTCATTTGTGGAGATGTCCCTTGCAGTGTGTTAGAGAGCTGCCTGGGGGGGGGTCAGTTCTTCGGGGCTAGGGACATAGTACTTCGCGTACGGGGCTTGTGGCTTTGTAGTTGGTTAGTTCGAGAGTGCACCGAAGCACTACGTTTCATTTTTTGTCTTTTCCTGTTATATGATTGTACTTAGTGCAATCTGTGTTTTGGGGCGGGGGTGCATCATGATTCAACCCCAAACCCCAAACAACGAATGTAGATTGGCCTTGCAGTTGGGACATTTAAATCGCGTTGGCTAACACAGTTTTACCTGTGAAAGTTTCAGGTAACTGTATCACATTTTGGGGTTCCGATGGTGTCTGGCAGCCCGGCACGTCGCATACTCAACATGTCACCCTAAACCCTGTGCCTTAAGCTTACCACGATGCACTGGGTGGCGAGTACACTGAATAGTTCGGTTCCCCAAAATAGGTAAACCCTCAACCCTGAAGCCTGAACCCTAAACCCTAAACCCCCATATGGTTCCGCACCTTGAATGAAGGTTGGCCTCTCTCGGAGCTCATACTCCATTATGACTATGCCCCAACACCCAAATCCCAAACCCCTAAACCCCAAAAGGGGATAGGTTTAGGGTTTAGGGTTTAGGGTTTAGGGTTTAGGGCTTAGGGCTTAGGGCTTAGGGTTTAGGGTTTGGGTTTAGGGTTTAGGGTTTAGGGTTTAGGGTTTGGGGTTTGGGGTTTGGGGTTTGGGGTTTGGGGTTTAGGGCCCCCTAAACCCCTAAACCCCTAAACCCCTAAACCCCTAAACCCCTAAACCCCTAAACCCCTAAACCCCTAAACCCCTAAACCAAACCCCTAAACCCCTAAACCCCTACACCCTTAAACCCCTAAACCCCTAAACCCCTAAGCCCCTTAAAACCCCTAAGCCCCTTAAAACCCCTAAACCCCTAAACCCCTAAACCCCTAAACCCCTAAACCCCAAACCCCTAAACCCTAAACCAAACTCTAAACCCTACACCCTAAACCGTAAACCCAGAGTCACTCAACCCAGAGCCACCCAGGCTGGCGAGTCGAGGCAGCTATCCAGAGGCCAGTCACTGACGGCTTGGGGGGATTTTGGGTTGGGGGTTTTGGGGTTTGGGGTTTAGGGTTTAGGGTTTAGGGTTTGGGGTTTAGGGTTTGGGGTTTAGGGTTTATGGGGTTTAGGGTTTATAGGGTTTAGGGCTTGGACTTTGTAGGGCTTCTACAAGGGCCTGACAGGATTTATCGAGCGTGTACGGCTTTTTTTTTGCCTAGAGCTTGTGGGGTTCATGGGGCTCGTGGCGTTCATGCGGTTTGTGGGCCTATTTTGGGCCAATAAGATTGTTTGCAGCCTATAGGGTTTGCAGAGTGTAGGGTTTTATAGGGGCTTGCAAGGCCCAAAAGTTTAAGGTATGTTCCGTTCCTTACTTAAGTGGTTTTAGGCTCTCTTGGTCGACAGACACCTCTTCTGAAAAAGGAGTTTAGGGTTTAGAGTTGAGGGTTTAAGGTTTAGGGTTTAGTGTACGCGGAGCACTTCAACCGCAGAGTCGCTGCACAGCGGGCGATGATTGATTTGCAGGAGATGGGGAGCGAACGTGACAGGACACCTTCAACCCTAAATCCTAGAGCTTAAACCCTAAATCCTGAACCCCAAAACTTGAGCGCTACACCCTACGTCCTAAACCCTCCTAACCCTAAACCCTCCGAGCTCACGGCGGAGCAGCGCACCCAAAGCCTCTAGTTAAGCCCTATATATTGGGATGTTCCCCCTCATACTAACCGTCCTTGATAGGGATTAGAAATAGGGGGTACTAGACTCCCTAGTGAGGACTGTTAGTACAAGGGGGAACATCCCAACCTATATACGTTGCACGAATGAATCGTCAAACCCAGAGCAACTCCAATACCCCTCGTTAAAGACTGTTCCGTAAACCATATAAGGAATCTTCTTACATTTAAGGAAGAATTTCGGGGAACCTTCTACCTGGACCCCCCCCCCCCAACAAAATATATGTAAACAAATGGACACATAGAAGGGCCCTTGTTGTACATACTTTGGGGGTTTAGGTACGCCACCTTCCCCACTGAAACCCAAGCCCCCCAAACTGTGCTCCAAACCCTTAAAAACACAAACTTGCTCACACTTGCTCACACCCCAAAGCCTCAAGACCTCCCTAAACCCTACCTCGGACCCTCTTTACCTACGTTTCTTATGGGTTACACCCACTTCATGAAGGGTAGTTACTACTAAACTGTCCCAGGTAAACCCTCAAGACCCGGAGCCAGCCACCAAAACCCTAAGCCCTAAACCCTCAACCCTAAACCCTAAATTTCAGGCCTAGCGGCACGGGCCGGCCCCCGCCCCCCAAAGCACGAAACCTTGAACCTTGGCACTGTCTTCTCTTTCCCGTGTCTTTGTCCTCTCCTTCTCTCTGTCTCTCTTTCTCCTGCCTTCGCCCCCCCCTCCCTCCCCCCCACCCCCCGGCGCGCGCGCGCCTGCATCAGGAGCATCAGTGGGGTTTGTTTGGGGGCCTTAAAAGCATTCTATGCATGCGTTTTGCCTTCGCAAAACCTTCAGAAAACGCTGTAAACACGTGTTTTTGGGCTTGGGAAGCCTGTTGGGACCCAGGAAAGGGAGCATCATGAGCATCAGCGGCCTCCCCCAGGCCATCCAAAACCCCCTTAAACACGCCGATTGTGCCCACCAAACCCCCAAAAGCAAGACCCCGAATGCCCTTAAGGGCATTCGGGGTCCTGCTGTTCGGGTGTTTTGTAGGCACGAAGCCGTTCGAGCGCGTAAAATGAGCGATTTTAGGGGCGTTTTTACGTGGACCCACAAAACACTCGGTATTTACGAGGTTTTCTGCTGTTGGAACCCCCCCCCAAAACGAGCATCATGAGCATCAGCTGGGTCTCTGGGCCGTCGGCCCCGGAGGCCCACGAAGCCCATGAGAAACGATGGCTCGATGATGCGCCCGGACCCCCGCGCATCAGCAGCATCAGCAGACCCCCCCCCGGACGTGGGTTTCGATGATGCGCACTTTGGGGGCGGGTCAAGGGCAACAGGGGTGGGGGTCGGAGGCACACGTGAAAAAACCTCATAAAAACACGGTATTTACGGTGATTTCAGCGTTTTTCAGCGTTTTTTACTGCCTTGGGGCCGCGGGCCAGGGCTGCTGATGCTCATGATGCTCGCCTGGTTTTGGGTTTCCGGTACCCCCCCCAAACCTTGAAAAACGTGGTTTCGGCCTGGCGCGCGCCCCATGTGAAAAGCTAGGGCCGATGATGCGCGCCCGTGAGGCTTTAATGGAGTGCTGCGGGTGTTTTGTGGCCTCGGTTTTTCGTAAAAACCCATGGTTTTTACGAGGTTTTCGTGCTTTTCGCACCACCGCGTGTTGCGTCCCCTTGGATGCCGTTTTGGAGGCCTCCCGAAGGGCCCCGCGCGAATTTGAAGCAATTTTGGGCGGGGTCGGCGCGGGCGCTCGCCCCTTAAAGCTAGCGCTTTAGTGCGACGCGGGCTCCGCCCTGGACCACGGGCGGCGCGGGGGCCGGATTTAAGAGCCTCCGGCTCAAGCCGCCGACCCCGCTGGAGCATAGTTGAGAGGTCTAAACCCGCTCGCATGGTTCGAAGATCATCCCAGCCTGCTCGGCAGGGGGTAAGGAGGGAAAGAGGGAGGTTTTCACCTCCTCAAACCCATCCAACACGCCGCCAGGGTCGGCGGACCCTAAACCCTAAACCCTAAACCCTAAACCCTAAACCCTAAACCCTAAACCCTAAACCCTAAACCCTAAACCCTAAACCCTAAACCCTAAACCCTAAACCCCTAACCTAAACCCTAAACCCTAAACCCTAAACCCTAAACCCTAAACCCTAAACCCTAAACCCTAAACCCTAAACCCTAAACCCTAAACCCTAAACCCAAACCCTAAACCCTCAAGATCCGAATCCAAGCCACAGTCCTCGGCAAAGGCGCAGAGCTCTAGCGCGGCGCCCCGACGACTCGCCGGAGGCTCGTCTTCGTGGAGTAAGACAGGGATTGTCAGAATTACTCATAGAATTCCCTTATGGTCCCTTTACCATTATGCGACAAAACCCCCCAAACCCTATTCTAATTATTCAGACCCCCAATTCACCAGAGAGTCCAACACCCACTAGTCAAGGAATAGAGCTCTCATGGCAATAAGGATCCTTACCAGAATAATGTATATAAATAAGTGAATTGATATACATACATCTATACATATATATATATACATACATGTATTCATTTCCTTATCTGGACTCATTTGTCTATTTATTTACTTATCTTTATGTTTTGGCAACAAGGATCCATGTATCTGTATGGGCATGTGTCACAATAAGGATCCATTTGTATACATATAGCCCGATACCCGAAGGCTAAACTCAAGAAACTAAGCGTGCAAGACGACGGAGCCCACACACCCGGTTCACGGTTGTAGGTCACAAGGTGCTGGGTTTGGGCTGTTTTAGTGTTATGAAGGTACTCAAAGGAAGTTCCCATAGTGCGGAAAGCCCTTGTTTCGACTGCATACCAGTTTTGGTTTCTATAGCTTCGGCCCCTGAAATCGGAACCCTAAACCCAGGAAGCCCTAAACCCTAAACCCTAAACCCAGAAACCTCTTGGACTTTCAGCAGGCAAGTGCAGCGCTTCACATCGAGGTGCAGCTGAGAAGCAAGGCACTTCGAGCCCCTGGTAGGGGGCTGTGGGATGGGTTTAAGGGCTATTTAGGGTTTAGGGTTTAGGGTTTAGGGTTTAGGTTTATGGTAGGGATCTTACAGGGTTCTTATAGAGTTCTTATAGAGTCCTTATCGGGATCTTATACGGTTCTTATTCTGTTGTTACACATTTATTTTGGGGTTACTATAGGGTTCTTGTAGGGTTCCTATAGGCTTCTTATGGGGCTCGTATCGGGCTCTTCTGGGGTCATTATAAGGTTTTTATAGAGAGATGATAGCGTTCGTAGAGGGTTCTCAGAGGTGTTTTGGGTGAATAAGACAGTAGCGTTTAGGTTTTTTGGGATCTCCTCGTGACTGCGAGTGTATATGTGTCATTTGGGTACCCCGGTCCCGAAGAATGTGAAGCTTATGTCAGTTCAGTGGTTCACTGTACCCTTGTAGCCTTATATGCAACAGGAACCACCGAATCCCTAAACCCTAAACTTACCCTAACCTCCAAGCCCTTAGCCCTTGCTAGGCTTCCTGCTAGGCTTCCTGCCAGGCTCCGATTCAAAGCAGGTTCTGAGCACATTTGGTACTTTTTCTTGGCTTCAGTCCCCAATGTGTGTAGTGCAGCATCCTATTTGAAGGTATTTGGGGTTTAGGGTTTAGAGTTGAGGGCAAGGTGCTCAGGGATCTTTTGAGACCCTGAAGAAGCCGCGTAGGGCTAAGGGGCCGGTAGCGGGATCAGGACCTAAGGACCCCAAGTCTTAAACCTAAAACCTAGGGCTTACCCGGACCCCGAAGCACCCGTCCCCAGATCTTGAACCCTAAACCCTAATACTGTAATGGCAATTGCCTTCCAAGAAAGGTAGGCTTTAGGTTTCAGAGTTTACTCCTGCAGGCCTTTGGTTTTGGGGGGTCATCTTGGAGATCTGCAGAACCCATAGTGTGTCCTTACTCCCTTTTTGTTTGGATACTTCGGCTCCCTGTGTGAAATCTGTTTCACAAAGCTCTAGACCCTGACCCAAAACCCCAAACGCTAAACCCTGAACCCTTTTCATTCCTTGACTCCCTTTTGGGGGGCATCGAGTCCTGGGTTTGCTGCCAGGAGCGCCTGCGCGATTTGTTGCGCACGGGCCAGCTCCAGAGGGTGAAAAAGGCAACACGGCCTATGGGGTTTAGGGCTTCGGGTTTAGGGTTTTAGGGTTTGAGGCTTGGGGTTTAGGGTTTGGGGGTTAGGGTTTCAGGGTTTGGGGTTTAGGGTTTGGGGCTTGGGGTTTAGGGCTTAAGGTGGAGGGAGGGCTTAGGGCTCGGGGCTTGGGACTTGCGGCTTAATTACGGCTTAGGGCTTCAGGCTTAGGGCTTTATTAGGCTTGTAACGAAGGGTTTAAGGTTTGGGGTTTACATGTGGGCTCTAATGAGGCTTGAGGATGTTTTTTGAAATGTCTTACTTGGGGAACACGACTTAAAGCAAAACTTATCAATCTTGAGTATGATGTACGACTCCTGTATCTGGGGGAACTGCCGGAAGGACCCTTCCAAGTGAGGGTTTAGGGTTTAGGGTTTAGGGTTTAGGGTTTAGGGTTTAGGGTTTAGGGACCCCAGGGTAGAGACCATATTCACGGCATGGGCTAGGTGGAGTTCAGGGCTTAGTGGTTAGAAGTATGGTAGCACTATCGAGGACTTTGAACAGGGCTTCTGTTAACCCTAAGCCACAAACCCCAACACAAAGGACTACGTGAAATATACTCGGGTTTAGATATCAAGCAGGGCTTTCAGGTTCGTACCTTGGGTTTAGGGCAGTTTAGGGTTTGAGGGTAAAGCGGAAATCAACAAAGAACACCAAAGCCCTAAACCCTAAATCCTACACCCTAAGGCTCTAAACCCCAAACCGACACCCTGAAGCCCTGAACCCTATACAAGCCCTAAAACCCTCAAACCCTAAACCCTAAACCCTTTCGTCGCCCTGCGGGAGCATAGATCCCTGCAGTCTGCAGCTTTCTTTCAGGGCCCCAACCTGCGAAGGATTTGTGATTTTTATGGTGCTCCTGATATGGTTTGAGGATATGTTCCTTAGTTGAGGGGCATTGGAGTCTGGGTAAGCCCTACATGCTAGCACCGTACTAGCACCCTACTTGAAGGTTCATGGGACTTACTAACCAATTATAACTCTACTTATAACCCTACTTATAATACCCCTAAAGGGCCTTATAGGGGTTATCCCAATTATAAGTAGGGTTATGAGCCCAGTTACAAGTGGTTATTAAGTCCCATGAACCTCCAAGTAGCCCCACAGGAAATGGCGGCGTCCATGCCAAAGCCGCCGACGCCGCCTTCTGAGCAGCGCAGGCCAAGTGGAGCTTGTTGGAGGGTCCACGGCTTTAGTGTGGGTTTAGGGTTTAGGGTTTAGGGTTCAGGGTTTGGGGTTTGGGGTTTGGGGTTCGCGGCCTGAATGTTAGGATTCCCTGTGATTCCCATGCACTAAGGGAAATTCCTTAACACCATGCAAGGAAGCCTCTTATAGTATAAGATTATAAGATGTATAAGGAGCATTTCCTTAATGAAGGGGTATTGCAGTGCCTGGAATTCCTCATGCACGAGAACCTAAACCCTGGAAAGGGCCCCCGACCAAGGGTTTAGGGTTCAGGGTTTGTAGGGCTTATGGGGGCAACAAGCAACGCCCGTCCCCGTGGATGGTTTTGAGTTTCCAAGGTTTTTGAGGTGGAAGGCCCTGGTTTGCTTAAGGATAACTTGGAGGTTCATGGTACTTACTAACCAATTATAACTGTACTTATAACCCTACTTATAATACCCCTAAAGGGCGTTATAGGGTTATTATAAGCCCAGTTATAAGTGGTTAGTAAGTACCATAAGGCGTTTAGGGTTAGCCTCCCCACGAACCCGTCAAGCTATAGACTGCCCCACAGCATCCTTTTCTTCACATTCCCTTTTGGGCGTTACGTTAGTTGCCTTAAAACAAACAAGGGCATCCCGGTTCTCCTTCCTTGTGGCAGCTCTGCCGCAATTGCCTTTCTGTCAGAGAGCGACCAGAAAAGAGAGGGAGAGCGAGAGAGCGAGAGAGAGCGAGAGAGATGTGGTTTCAGAGCCCCCAAACCCTTAAACCCTGGAAACCTTGCACGCGATAGGCCGTTAACTCTCTCTGCAGGCCTTCTGTACAGCGGCCGGGCTCGCCCGAGGACTTCGTGGTTGTTCTGGGGACTTTGGACCCTGAACCCTTAACTGTGGGGGTTTAGGGTTCAGGTTTCCCTGAGCATTTCCCTAAACTCTAAACCCTAAACCCTGAACCCTGAACCTCAGTATGCCAAAGCAGGAACAGGCAGTTTTGGGGGCAAAAGAGGGGCTGCTTCTAGCCCAAAGCCCCAAAATCTTCAAACAGTACTGCGTGAGAAGCACAGCAATCTATGCTAGGACCCAGAGTAGGCCCTTATTTTTTCACTTGTTCCCCTCATAAGCCCCTTTAAACCAACAAGGGCACCCATGTCATTCCTAGGTTACTCTTGGGTCTGGTATGGGTATTTGTTAATCATCAACCCTAAACCCTAAACCCCAAACCTTGCATCCTTACGGTTCGAAGCCCTAAGCCCAAAACCCTGAATAGTTAGGCAAGTGTCTGAGCCTTATCAAACATGCAAAATAGGGGGGGGGGGGGGGCGTCCTTTCGAAACAAATACGCAAGACAACTATCGAACAGGCCCGTTGCGCCAAACTCCAAACCCTGGGCCTTAAACCATAAGCCATAATTTTTGAATGTGTAGTTCTCTAAGTTAGGATCCGTTTTGGTACTGTATGGGTGCCGTATGATATAATTACATCGGCTATAGGGGACCCGAAAAGGGGCCCTAATTTCGAGAACGACTCAAATATACAGTACTTTACACCCTATCCCTTAATCCCTGAGCCCTAAACCCCCGTATATAAAGCAGGGTATATATTTCTGTTTTTGGTGAGTGTACATAAGGTTCCTTTTTAATCTTGGTGAGTGTATATACCTGGTGTCCTTTTGGGGGTACAAGAAATATATACCCTACTTCATATAAACTCACGAGGAGTCCACTCGGCTGTTTGGTGACGAGTCCCTCGCATCTTCTCGAAAAGCCCGGCGAGAGAAGGTCAGGGTTGAGGGTGGGTTCAGGGATTAGGGATTTAGGGATTTAGGGTTCAGGGTTCAGGGATTAGGGATTTAGGGTTTAGGGATTAGGGATTTAGGGTTTAGGGATTTAGGGTTTAGGGATTTAGGGTTTAGGGATTTAGGGTTTAGGGATTTAGGGTCTAGGGTTTAGGGTTTAGGGTTTGGGAGTTAGGGTTCAGGGTTGGGGATTTTTGGTTTGGGGATTGAGGGGTGCATTCGGACATCATGGTCCCAGTGCGCTCCAGCGCCCTAAATCATGGATCCCTTCTTGGGGTATAAACTTCGAACTACATGCTCCATACATAATATGGTACCCCCCCACCCCCCCCCACCCCTCTCCCTACACCTTTTTGCTTTTGTGGGTCCCAGAAAACTTCACTCCGATAGTTTAGAAGCTCAGCTATTGAGAAGTTACTGTCTGAAGGAGAGTGGAGGCCGCAACGCCGTACTGTCCCAATCTATTGGACGGAGGTGCAAAAACGACTGTCCCAAACAACTCAGGGTTTAGGGTTTAGGGTTTAGGGTTTAGGGTTTAGGGTTTAGGGTTTAGGGTTTAGGGTTTAGGGTTTAGGGTTTAGTAACAATCTTTTGAGCGTCTCCAGAGCTGAAAGCCCAAATGATGGGGACAGTCCATCGTTGTTGCACGTCCGTCCCCAAAAAGATTGGGACAGCCCAGCATGTTTGCATTACTGGAGCCAAAAACGCTGAACTGTCCCAATCTGTTTGGCTCCAGTAGTGCAAGAGTGCTGTACTGTCCCCATCTTTTTGGGTCTAGAGGTGCAAAAGCGCTGTGCCGTCCCAATATTTCGGGTTCAGATGTGCAAAAACGCTGGACTGTCCCAAAAGACTTAACAAAACCAATCTTTTGAGGGTCTCCAGACCTGGAAACCCAAAAAGATTGGGACAGTCCAGCATGTGTGTGTGTGTGTGTGTGTGTGTGTGTGTGTGTTGGGTGGTTGGTTGATTGGTTGGTTGGGCTGTTCATTTTACATACCGTGGGTGGTCCAAGTAAAGCCTAAGCCTCTTGACCTTGGAAGCCAACAGCACTCCTTCAAACCCTAAACCCTAAACCCTAAACCCTAAACCCAGATCAACGTCGAGTCGAGAAGCCCTAAAATCGACAGCCGAAACTAAGCTGGATTACCAACCTCCAACCAAAACCGGGGCTTTAGAGGGCTTCCATGCCTTTTCATAAGGGTTCACAAGAAGAGCCTAACGGGCTTAAGTGGGTTTGTGCCGTTGGGATGAACTTTCGGGGCAGAGAACCCTAAACCCGAAACCCAAAACCCTAAACCCGAAACAACCCTGACAAACATAGAGCTTGCATCCGAAGGCTTCGGCAGAACCAAAGCCGATTCAAGGCGCGCTTGCTGGGGGGGGGGGGGGGGAGAGCCGCTGTCGGCTGCTGCTGCGATGTACTGCGATGCCACGGTGGGCCCTTGGGATGTCTTTTCTACCTCCCCTTTTTTAATTTAAGGTTTTTTTTTCAGAGGGTTTCAAGGGCCATGCCATGGCTTTCGGCGGGTTTAAGGGGATTTGTCAGAGGGTTTCAAGGGCCATTCTGGCCATGGCTTTCCCAAAACCCCTAAACCCTTGACCCAACCCTCTACGTGTCGTTTGCTCTTGTTTGTTGGTTTGAGGTTGGACTTGCGGAATGCAAGGGGCTCAGGCATATTGATTTTACACGATACATTTTGATATTCAATATGTATGTATTCTATTTTCTACTCTGTTCTATTCTGTTCTGTTCTGTCCTACTCTTTTCTTTTTTGTCTATTCTGTTCTATTCAATTTTAAGCCGCCCGGCACCAGGCGTGGCGGCAGAGGCGCTTCAGCTCATGAGCCGCCAGCGCACGGAGCTGACCAAGGCCGAGCCATGACTGGTGTTTTGGTTGTGCGGACTTTAGGGTTTAGGGTTTAGGGTTTAGGACCTCAACCCTGATCCCTGGCCACCACAGCCCTAGATCCTTATTCTCGCAACCCGAACACCATGAATCCCCCCTCCCCCCCGAAAACCCTGGACCCTAGACCCTAATCCCTAAACCCCCTTACATGGACAACAGGCACGCCGGGCCTTGGAGCAAGTCTTAGACACGCCCGGAGCTCAGCTGACCACTGAGTTGCCCGGAGCCCCAATAGGATCTCTTCCTATTCTTTTTTTACGAGGGTGCCCCACAAATGGGGCCCGTCAAACCCTAAACCCTAAACCCTAAACCCTAAACCCTAAACCCTAAACCCTAAACCCTAAACCCTAAACCCTAAACCCTAAACCCTAAACCCTAAACCCTAAACCCTAAACCCTAAACCCTAAACCTAACCCTAAACCCTAAACCCTAAACCCTAAACCCTAAACCCTAAACCCTGAAAACCCTGAACCCTGAACCCTGAACCCTGAACCCTGAACCCTGAACCCTGAACCCTGAACCCTAAACCCTAAACCCTAAACCCTAAACCCTAACCCTAAACCCTAAACCCCAAACCCCAAACCCTAAACCCTAAACCCTAAACCCTAAACCCTAAACCCTAAACCCTAAACCCAAACCCTTCCTCAGGGAACCGACCAGGCGTGTGCTGTTTGATCTTGTCTTTCTTGGACCCAGGAGCTCGGGTCGCTTAAGCCCTAAACCCTAAAACCTCGATGTGGTTTTGGGTTTGGGGTGAAGCCCTGCAAGCATAACCCTAAATCCTAAACACTAAACCCTGAACCGCCCCTCTGTCCCGTAAGCCCTACACCCTGAACCGAGGAAATCGAACGAATGAAATAATTCCCAAATCTGGGGGGTTTCCTTAGGAATCTGTGAAGGTATATGGGTAGTTCTCCTAGTTGTGGTCACTTTTGGGGGTTGCGATCAGAAGGCGGCCCCTTAATGTTCAGCGTACCTCAAGAGGGGACCCTAATTTGTGCGCTTAATTCGGGTCCTTTTTTGGTTCCCTGATAAAATACGGTACCATTTTTGGAAACAACAAATCTACCCATATAGGTTGGGATGTTCCCCCTTGTACGAACAGTCCTTAATAGGGACTATGATTGGGGGTACTGTAATCCCTATTAAGGACTGTGCGTATAAGGGGGAACATCCCAACATATTTGTGTAAAACCGGCAGAGACAAGCTGCTGAAATTCTCCTAAACCCTAAACCCTAAAACCTAAACCCTAAACCCTAAACCCTAAACCCTAAACCCTCTGAAAAGATGCCCCGAGGCGCCGTGAGTCCGACCGAAAGATGGAGCGCCTCCAGCAGGTCGGGCACTGGCCTCCCCTCTGCTTAGGGTTTAGTGTTTTGGGTTTAGGGTTAAGGGTTTTGGGTTTAGGGTTGAGGGTTTAGGGTTTAGGGTTATTAACCAAGTATAACTGCACTTATAACCCTACTTTTTCTACCCCTAAGGGGCCTATAGGGGTTATCCCATTTATAAGTAAGGTTATTCGCCCAGTTCTAAGTGGTTATTAAGTCCCATGAACCTCCAAGTACTCAGTATCCCCTAGAAGACCCTTTAAATAATCCCCAGAGCCCAACTTACAAACCCCTAACCCTAAACCCTAAAGCCGTAACCCTAAACCCTTGGGTTTAGGGTTTAGGGTTTAGGGTTTAGGGTTTAGGGTTTAGGGGTGCCCTACATAAACCTCATGATGGAACCAGAGGCTTTAGGGTTCAGTTCCTGAGTATTTGCTGGGACCTCAATGCCCCAAACCCTAAACCCCTAAATCCCTGAGACCCAAGAAACCCTCTAAAACTCTGCCCCTAAACCCCATTCCCCAACATGCCTTCCATAAGCTCTATGATGCTGGGGTTGGTAGGGAGGGGGGGGGGGGGGGGGGGGGGGGGGGGGGGTGGCACGGGGGGTTGCTTTAGGCTTGGGACCAATGGGGTTTAATGTTGCACTGGCTTTAAGAAACGCCCCCCCGGCCCCCCTGTCACTCAACTCGGTTCGCATAATAGATTTTGGAAACTTGTGTAATCGTAGAGGATGCATATACTAAACCGAGTGCAACATCAGGGTTTAGGGTTTGGGGTTTAGGGTCAAGGGTGTAGGGCTAAGGGTGGGATGTGTTGTTCGTTGACCCTCATCCTAACCACCACCCAGAACTCCCAACGCTTATGCAGCCGTCCCCACTTCCCCCACACGCACATGGGCATTTCCGAAAATAGGGGGATAATGGGGTTGGAATAGTTACTAATGTCATTCCCTTATGGTCCCCAAAGAAAATGATACTCTCCTGGCCCCTCCAAACGCCTTCTGATCATTCAGGCCCCTATAGTACCCCCAATATACCCCCTCCACCCCAAATGCTATAACTCTATAATCCTTATTCTAGGAACCCCCAACAAGGGTAACATAGGGGTCGGAATAATTACTAATAGCATTCCCTTATGGTCCCCTGAAAATTGTACTAGAATAACCACCCCCCAAAACCCTATTCTAATTATTAAGGCCCCTATACTACCCCTATTTCGGAAATCCCTACGTGGCTGAATGCACGGCCCCCACGGCTCCTTGTCACTTGCTTCCTTCGGTGAGCCTATTGAGATGCAGTTCGCACATCGGCGACACTCACCGCAGTCCCAATAATGTACATCAAGGGACTGTAAGGCATATACATATATATATATATACATATATATATATATACAGATATATATATATATACAGGGGTTAAATAGAAGAAGCTTAAGGGTCCCTTCCAGGGGTCCCTCGTTAGCCCCTTCTGTTACACGAGTCTTGCGCAGGTCCTGGCGAAGTATCAGCCGCCAGAGCCGCGAAAGCCCGTCGACATCGGCGCCGGTGTCCCAGCATCACAGGGGGTGCGTGCACCTGTACCCTTCATTGTGTAGCCAGTTCTTATAGAAGTCCTTCTTACATTTCAAAGCACGACTACGGGAAGGTTATCTGCTCGCAGATGTTGATGTCGGTTCTGCGCCATGCATATATAAACAAAGCTAGGGTCCCAGAAAGCTTTGCTCTCAACTGTTGTGAGAAGGAACATATACTGCTCTCAACTGTTGTGAGAAGGAACATATACGCGTCTACACTGTCAGAGCTAGTTCCGAATGTGCGTAGCTAAAGTGGCGCTACATGCAAGAAGGCCACCCGCTCAGTTGAAAAAGAAAGATATCTACTCATCACAGCATTCCTGGATCCTTAAACACGTTGTTTCTGTGAATCCTCTACAGGGCAACCGTTGTCTTTGAGTTTGACGCCAGCAGGTCACGCTTGAAAACGCAGTGTACAAGCGTATGACTGGGTGTTGGAGTACTATACTTGAATACTTTGTTTGGTTCTGGGTTCCTACTATAGCTAGTTTTCCGCCTTAAATATATATTCTGGGTTCCTACTATAGCTAGTTTTCCGCCTTAAATATATACTGTTTTTCAGGGTCTACTCCAAAGTAGGGAGAAGACTACCGCCCAACCTGGGCCCTTTGTTTTAGTTGTTTCTGTTGGCCAGCATAAACTTGTGGCCTCGTCAAGAATCACAAGCTCCCCCCCCCCCCCCCCCGCCCCCCCCCCCCCCCCGCCCCCCCCCCCGCCCCCCCCCCCCGCCCCCCCCCCCCCCCCCCCACCCCCCCCCCCCCCCCCCGCCCCCCCCCCGCCCCCGCCCCCCCCCCGCCCCCCCCCCGCCCCCCCCCCCGCCCCCCCCCCCCCCCCCCCTCAAAAAAAAAAGTCAGAAAAAACCAGAAGCCAACCCTGAACCCGAAACCCTAAACCCTAAATTTTAAGAGCCTCCGGCTCGATCCGCCGACCCCGCAGGAGAACAAGTTTGGGCGTGTTTACGGTTCAGGGCCAATCTCTGAAGCTTTGTGGGGTTGGGGATGGGGTGGCGGCGGGGGGGGGTGGTTGGGGGTGCGGCGGGGGGGTGGGGGGGTGGGGGGGTGGGAGGGGGTGGGGGTGGGGGGGGGAAACGTACACTTTGTTTCGTAGGAGGCTCATCCAAGCTGTCATAGTCCGAGAACCTCCCCGCAAAACGCCAAAGGTCGGCGGACCCTAAACCCTAAACCCGAAGCCCGAAGCCCGAAACCCGAACCCTAAACCCTAAACCCTAAACCCTAAACCCTATCCCCCCCCCCTTCTGCAGCAGGCTGTGATCACGACGAAGTGGGGCCTGGGGCGCAAGGGTTCGAAGCGTTCTGCAATCGACACTTGCCTGTTGAAACGGTTTGGGGTTTAGGGTTTGTGCATTGAGGGTTTAGGGAGGGAGGGGGAGACGAAAAGGTTTCGAGCTTCGGGCCGTTTAGGAGGTAGGCTGTAGGCTGTACCCAGACAGCCCAAACCCCTTGATTTACAGAAGAATACCTTGAACCATATAGGGAGCCTTATCATGACACAATCTTTATTCCTTATCTTTTGTAAGGGGTATTGGGCAGAGGTATTGGGCTCTCTCTTGGGTAGGGACTTGGGCCTGTCTGCCAGAATTACGGTTTCGGTCGTAGGGTTGCAGGGAGTTGCAGCAGTTGGAAAGCACTGTACACGGCAGACAACTCAGAGAATTCTCCACTAAAGCCTGAACCCTAAGCCTGTATGGCCGGTTCTGAAGAAGTCTGGTTCTTTCTGAGGACCTTGCTGTTGCGGAATAAGGGTAGTAGACGGGCTGATTACGACTTTCTGTCGAAAGCACCTGCCAGGAGCCCCACGACCCCTGTAATCAAAAGAACATACTATAGGGGTCGGAGTAATTACTCTTTATGATCCCTTTACAAATGGACTATAATAATAACCTTCCCCCCCCCCCCCCCAAAAGATAATAATAAATCAATATTCTAATTATTCAGGCCCCTATGTGACCTTAAGCTGCATATGAAGCCTCAGTACGAGTTCCGCTATATTCCTGTATTGAGGGGTACATGGTCTAAACCCTTAACCCTGTTGCTTAAGGGGTTTTTGAGGTTCTTTGGGGCAAGCGTTGTCAAGGATCGTGCAGTTTGAGGACACGCCGGGGACTCATCCGGGCTGCCAAGGTGGCGAGTCCTTTTTTGTTTAGGGTTGGGGTGCTAAACTAAACCCTAAACCCTAAACCCTAAACCCTAAAACCCTAAACCCTAAACCCTTTTTGGGCTACATGGGGGCCCGCGGAGACTTCTGGCGACCTCTGTTAATAAATCCCATGCGAATGCTTAGGGTTAAGGGTTCTGGGCCTTAAGCCCAGAGCCTTCTGGGGACTTCTGCTGCTACAAGATCCTCAATAACAGCCTTAACTTGTAAACCTTAATTCCCCAGCCTTTGCCCACGACAAATCGGAGCCTTTTTCGGGACTTTTCAGAGAAGAGTCCAGAACAGCCCTTAACCCTGAACTTTACCTCTAAACCTCAAAACCCGAGACCTTCAGCTCAACCCGATACCTTAAGTCCAACCCGAAACCTGAACCCCAGCCGGAGAATTCATTGGCATGCGTTTTCTAGATCAGTGTTAGGGATCCTTTTTACTTTTTGGGTTAAGGGCTTTCTTATATCAGATGCTCTACCAACTGAGCTATAGCCGGCTTGCTCCCAGGCCTTTGGAAGTAGAATGTGCGAAGCAAACAGTTGGAGTCAAAAAGTGTCAAGCCTTGGCGGTCTTTCTCTTGGTGTCCTCCAGAAAAAAAAAGTGAACCAAAACATAGGCCGGTATTCCAGCAAATGTGGCGAGTGAGGATCGAACTGAACAAAAAGGATCCTTTTTTCTTCCTAGGGGAACAGGGATTTAGTGTAGCCCTGAAACATCCTCCCAACATCCGTAGTACTCTTCAGCAAGGACCCCCCCAGAGACGATCAGTTCAAGCTTTGAAAGGCATGGGCACCCTAACCGAAGCCCATACTTGTCTGCAGTATCGGGCCCCGTTGCGGGAAATCTCACCCAAAGCTTCACCAGTGCCCGGGGCTTGCAGTTAGCGGAGTGAAACGGACTGACCCAGGCATGTAGTCGATGGGGAGGATTACAGATTGTGAGTGGTCCGCAGTTTTGGAACCCTAGACCTTTAAACCCTAAAACCCTAAAACCCTAAAACCCTAAACCCTAAACCCTAAACCCTAAACCCTAAACCCTAAACCCTAAACCCAAACCTTAAACCATGGCTTTGCAAGGAATGAGCAGCCGCACTTGTTTCTTTCCCCTTCAGTGTGACCAAGATGCGGCTTGGGAAGTAACAGTTGCACTAGCTAGCACTAGTATCAAGTATCGTACTGATAACCCTAAACCCTCGACCCTAGACCCCAAACCCCAATCCCTAAACCCTAAACCCTAAACCAGGTTGAAGGTGCCAATGTGCTCGCAAAAACCTGAGGAGCGTGCTGCTCGGGGATCTGAGAGCCATGCGTCAGGCAACGGCCAACTTGAGCCCACACTCTGCAGAGAGCATGGTTTTAGGGTTTAGGGTTTAGGGTTTAGGGTCAGAGAGCATGATTGGGATGTTCCCCCTTTATACTAACCTATATCCCCCTTGGGAATTGTTTGTTTAGTTTTGTTTATGTAAAACCCAAGAGGATATTAAACATGTTGTTTTTTATTAAGGTTCTAAGGGGAGTATAGTAACAGTCTTTATTGGGCATTATAGTAGCCCCTGTTTTAATACCTAAGAAGGACTGTTTTTTATAAGGGAGTCAATGATATGTCGCCATGGGAAGTCTTGTCTGTCTGTCTGTGTGTATGCCAGTATGTGTTGGTATGTAATGGTATGTAAGACCTTAAACCCTAAACCCTCAACCCTACACCCTAAACCCTAAACCCTAAACCCTAAACCCTAAACCCTAAACCCTAAACCCTAAACCCTAAACCCTAAACCCTTAAACCCTAAACCCTAAACCCTAAACCCTAAACCCTAAACCCTAAACCCTAAACCCTAAACCCTAAACCCTAAACCCTAAACCCTAAACCCTAAACCCGAATCAATGTAGCCGCTGGTCTTGCGTATGGCGCATGGTGTTGAGAGAGCACCTCGCTCGGTGGGTAACTCGCCCACTGAGACGCAGAATATTGTCAGAGTAGGCGACCAAGAGAGCCCAATGCCTTCAAAAAGCGAACCCTCAGCCCTAAGGGTTTAGAGTTTGGGGTTTAGGGTTTAGGGTTTAGGGTCCCTGAACCCTAAACCTTAAACCCTAGGGGTGATCTCAAGGACCCTCGTGCAAAATTATGGGGTTCTATGGGCTAAGCGAAGTATTTTGGGAACAGGTGTGAGGGTTTAGGGTCTAGGGTTTAGGGTATGATCAACTACCCTTATTCGCAATGCGAGGGGGTATTTGGCTCCGTGGGTTATACAGCGCCTGACAGCTTGCGGTGGCCTGGGGCGCGCTGCTTTTCCAACCCTAAACCCTAAACCGTGGTTTAAACACTGAACTCTAAACTCAGGAACTGCGGCAGATTCGTGGAACCCGGAAGCTGCAATTCTCAAGCGTCAGCTTCGTCAACCCTACTACCTTGCTTGGAGGTTCGTGGGTAGATGTAGGTAGGGTTCGAAGTACCCAAAATAGGATTTTTAGTTTAGCTACCATACTCACAAGCCTACTAGAAGCTACTCAAGAATCTCCAAGTAGGATGCGAAGCAGCTTAAATCCCTAAACCCTAAACCCTAAACCCTAAACCCTAAACCCTAAACCGCAGGGCACAGCAGCACGCCCGCGCCCATGTTTGGAGCCACCGCAGCCTTCGCACTTGGGGGGGGTTTGTTCTGAAAGGGCTCGGGTTCAGGGTTCAGGGTTTAGGGTTTAGGGTTTAGGGTTTAGAGTTTAGGGTTTAGGGTTTAGGGTTTAGGGTTTAGGGTTTAGGGTTTAGGGTTTGGGGTTTAGGGTTTAGGGTTTAGGGCTCTCTCTCTCCCACGAGCCCAAACTTCCCCGGAACCAAGGAGTATGCTTTAAATCATATAGGGATCTTTAGTATGATTTAAGGTCTATTCCTCCAAGGATATTGGGCTCTCTGGGTCTCTCTCTCAAAACACAAGCCCCTTTTGAGGGTCCTTTTGGTTGCAGGATCTTTTCTTACAGATGGTACCTTAAATTAACGCAGGTCTGTCGGGTTCAGGGCCTTAGGGTTTAGGGTTTAGGATTTAGGGTTTAGGGTAAAATAAGGGTTTAGGGTTTAGGATTTAGGCTTTAGGGTTTTGGGTTTAGGAAGAGCAAAGCCCCCCTGAATCTTGTTCGCCTTGCCCAACACGGGCAGCACACCGCGGCGGTGGAACCGCTTGCTTTAGGGCAGCTGACGGCTGTATCAAGGGACTAAAGGAGGGACCTTTTTAAGGGACCTTAGGGGTTCTTCAGGGGGCTACTTAGATATATAGGGGCTATGTAAGGTATATACATATATATATATATATAAATATATCTATATGTATATAAATATATTTATATTTATTTATTTATATTTATATAGATAGGTTTTTCATAGGGAATAAGATTAAGGGCTCCTTCTAGGGGTCCCTCCTTATACCCCTTAGTGTGACCGTGCGCCCGCGCACCAAAGGTGCTGCGTGTGCAACGTCAGGACAGGGATGGTTTAGGGTTTAGGGTTTAGGGTTTAGTGTTTAGGGATTAGGGTTTAGGGTGTAGGGTTTTGGGTTTAGGGTTTAGGGTTGGGTCTTGAGGATTAGGCTTCGCTTCGTGCCAAGACTCGGGGTTTAGGGCTTAAGGCTTAAGGTCTACTAGGGTTCCCAAAGAGCCCAATACCCCTTAATTCAGGAATAGACCTTAAATCATACTAAAGATCCCTCTATCGTGTAAGGCGTATTCCTTAATTGAGGTTTTTTGGGCTCTTCTGGATTCAAGGCTTTAAAGGTTTTGCACCTGATTAGGGCTTCGGGCTTTGGGCTTAGGGGCTTAGGGCTTAGCGCTTAGCGCTTAGGGCTCAGGGCTCAGGGCTTAGGGCTTAGGGTTTTGCAAAGCTGGTCGCCTCTGTGAAGTGTTCTAGGATGCAGGGGTGGCCCTTACTCCCCTTTTGTAGGGTTTAGGTTCCTTTTATCAGCCCTCAACCCAAAAAGGGCACCCTTCTCATGCCTAGGTTCCTGCTGGGTCTGGTGTTTCCTCCAGGTCCTGAAAGTGCCGGATCCGAAATGGCACAGTCGCAAAAAAAACCCAGCACTGGAAAGCCGCCCCGAAACCCTCAGCCCTCATGGGCGTAACCTATCACCCCTTCTGTACTACCCCCCGTAGGTTCCCCCTATAGTGAAGGCCATTTGGGGATAATTAAGCCTGCCGAAGGATATTTAAGAGGGGGGGGGGGGATTGTATAGAAGGGGCTAGTACTTGGAGGTTCATGGTACTTACCCCAACTACAACTGTACTGAGAACCCACTTATAAGCCCCTCAAGTGCCCCGCTATGGTTATAAGTACAGTAGACAGTACAGTTATATAATTGGTCAATGAATACCATGACCCGCCAAGTAGGGAAAGCCCCATAAGCCCTAAACTGCGGGGATTTCGAAGTCCAAGCTCCCTTGGTAGCCCAGCGGTACCCTTTTTTGCAATGCTTTGCCGTTTTGGGATTTGCAGGTTCCCTCACCCTAAACCCTAAACCCTAAACCCTAAGGGTTTAGGGTTTAGGCTTTGGGGTTATCAGTGGGTAGCTTCTCGGCATGGGTGCGTCAAGGCTTAGGCGGGTTGTGTGGGTAGTAGGAGGTTGGTTCAGGTGTAATTCTGACCCAAAAAGCCTCAAATCCGGATGCCACTTCAATCTCTCGTATTGCATGGTGATCGAATACAAAATGCTAGTGCCCCATATTTCCTTCAGAGTTATAGAGCCCTGGTTGCAAATATTGCCTTGGGATGCTTGAAAGGCATAATGACCTAACAAACCGTGAACTGGAATGTCCACTAGAACGCTCGGCTGGTTTATCGGGCCGGGTTTCCTTCTCAACCCTAAATTGCTTGGGATGTTCCCCCTTATACTAACAGTCCTTAGTAGGGAGCATAAGAGGGGGTACTAGAATCCCTACTAAGGACTGTGAGTCTAAGGGGGAACATCCCAACCCTAACCCTCAACCCCGAACCCTGAACGACTACCCAGTTACTTGAGAACCTCGACCGGGGCCTCTCTCTTTTTTTGTGGGGGCCGAGGAGCAAGTAGACCGGATGTTGCTGTTGAATTGGCTTAGCGTTCAAACGTTGTTTTTTGTTTCGAATCTTTCCCCCAACACCTGCATATGTATAATATGTATACATAGGTTTATACATATTTACCTATGCCTATACCTGTATCTATATCTATATCTACATCTATGTCTATATCTAGATCTATATCTAGATCTATATCTATATCTCACCTATATATATATATATATGTGTGTGTGTATAGATACAGCTAGTACCCACAGTTTTTGTTACCCGAGGCTAGAAGGAACACGCTCTAACAAGAAATCACAGGGCCTCTTACTGCCACAGGCTCGATCAAGCCCCCGTAGTTCTGAGAAGTTTTTGGTTTAGGGTTTAGGGTATTGTTTTGGGAAGAGTCCTGCTACGCGTCATGCTAGCAGACAGAATAAGCTCTTAGAACTGTTGCAGCATTCTCCTAGAAGAACGGAGGCTCTTGGCAGAGGCAGTCGTGGAGGGTTTCCGTTTCGGTCTGAGCGGCCGAACTGACCATTCCCTGTCTGGGGCTCAAAAATTCAGAGCGCTGGAAACAGACTCTGCATCCCGCACACGCCCACACACACTGGACACAGACCCTGGAAACGAGCCTGTATAACGACCCCAGACTACGCCCAGATGTCTGCAAGAAACTGTGTAGGATTGGGGTTTAGGGTTTATGGTTTAGGGTTTTTCGAGGGTTCTCACTGCTCATGGCCCTGGTATGCGACAAGCTGCAGTCCTTAAAAAACACAGCTACTCAGTCGACAATACCAGGAGGCTGCTCACAAGCAAAGCAGGTAGCCAACACGGGGTACACACATTGCTGGTGGCCCGATTTTTCATCTTCAGTTTTCCAGCCGTGGCCTCAGTGAGCTCCCTAAGCCCTAAACCCCCTGAAAGCCTAACTCCCCCCAGCCCTTACCCCTAAATCCCGAAATGCCTAAAACCCCTTTCAAGCCACCTATAAAGCCCCCTATGAAGCTTGCGAAAGCCCTGATTCACCAAGGCAGTTCTCCTAGTCACGGTCCCTTTGTTGGGCACCTTAGATACGAGGCAGGAACCGGTTTAGGGTTTAGGGTTTAGGGTTTAGGGTTTAGGGTTTAGGGTTTAGGGTACAGAGGGCCACGACTTAGGAACTGCCCATGGTAAGCCCCTTACTGCATTCCCCTTTGTTAAGGGCACGTGGGCTTCGAAGCCCCAAACCCTAAACCCTAAACCCTAAACCCTAAACCCTAAACCCTAAACCCTAAACCCTAAACCCTAAACCCTAAACCCTAAACCCTAAACCCTAAACCCTAAACCCTAAACCCTGGCCCTTCAGTCTATGAGTCCTTGTTCCCTAGGACTTCCTGGACCTGCAGGTCCACGGGTACAAGAAGCGGACTCCTTACCATGTGAATCATTAATTGAATATGCGAGAATACGAAATTCTTTGACCTGCAAACTTATATAAAGAGAAGATAAACAGAATGACCACAAAGTGAAGAAAATGATATATTGTGATGAAATTTATAAATGAAAGCATTTCCTAAAGATATAGCAGCATTAGATAAAAGAAGTGTATTAGCAAAAGTTAATTCACAAGGATCTGGAAGATAGAAAGCTTCTCCAGGCCACATCCCTAAAGTTGGACAAGATAATGAATGAAAAGATGTCCAAAAGAAGGATACAAATAATCGAGCTTCAGAAACAAGAAAACCCCCAAAAAGAAGAAAACCTATGATTAATAAGACTTCATATATTTGGTGAATTCTCTTAATAAATCTCTAGACCAAATATGAAAACTATAAATTAAGCCATATAAAATGTGACAAAATATAAGAACTCCATGTGGCCTGTCCTTGCCATGTAGCCATATGAAGGGACGTGACTAGCCGCGATTCGACATGCCTCACATTTTTTGCCTTGCGAACTTCCGCAGCTCCATCATTGATTCGTAAAGGGCCCAGAGTATCGTCCCTTATTCCCTTTTGCAGGGTTTAGCTTCCCGCATCAGCCCTTTTGAACCCCTCTTTATTCCTAGTCATCTGCCAAGGTGTTGACACACAGGCGTCGACCGAGCTGTTTGTGAATGGAGTTTTGGCCCTCCCTAAGCCCACAAACTTCCCAACCTAGCCAGTCCCTGTATAAGTATATGGTTCACCACACATACTACCCCAAACCCTAAACCCTCAACCCCACCTGCGTTCGGGACCCGAAGGTGGGGTTCTTCTCAAGCAGGGCCGCTTTGCGTTCGAGTTTCCTTGGAGGTTCATGGGCTGGCTAGAGGGTTGTAGGTGCCCTAGATGGGGTTACTTGGTGGCCCAGTGGTACCCTTTGTACCATGTCTTGGTTGAATGTTCCCTTGTAAAGCAACCATCGGGTACCCTATGGCTACTGGGCTACCAGGTTTACGAGCATAGTTCCATGAAGCTCCAAGTAGAGCTTCCTTTCTTGGCTTTGCCGTCCTCGTGTCAAGGTACCGATAAGGGGGATCCACTTCAGGAGCAGCCCACCCATGTTGCGCGAAGGGTTATTCTAACTCAGGGCCCCAACATCTCGGGGGTCACACGTTTCGGGTTTAGATTTAATGCGCAGTCTTGTTCTTGGGGCACCCAAAAGTTTTTTCGATAGAACTGCCAAACCTAAACCCTCATACCCTAATACTCTTATACCTCAATGGCGTAAACCCATCCTAATACCCTAATGCCGTATGCCCACTGAGTTGTGTTGGATTTTGAGCCTCAGCTGCAACCCACTGGCGTTGAGGTACTGCAAAAGCGTCTGTTTGCCCGACACTTATTTCTTATTCTGCTTAAAGCCCTGAACCCTAAATCCTAAGCCCTAAACCCTAGACCCTAAACCTAAACTTTGGCCAAGCTTCGAGAGTGAAACAGCGGGATGTCGAAGCAAGACGCCTACATCTTTCGTCGATGCCTTGCCTCGCTGCTTACTTTTGCTCGGGGGGTTTGGTGCTTATGGGTTTAGGGTTTAGGGTTCAGGGTTGAAGGCTTGGGGGTCGGGTTTATGGTTTGGGGTTCAAAGGTGGAACGTAAGAATCCAAGAAGCTTTTAGATGTTTCCTTCTTGTAATCAGCCAGGGTTTAGGGTTTAGAGTTTAGGGTTAAGGCTTTAGGGGATTTCTGTTCATGGAATACGAGTATGACTTCCTTGATAAAAGCCATAAAAGCAACCCTAAACCCTAAACCCTAAACCCTAAAGCCCTAAACCCTAAACCCTAAAGCCTAAACTCTTCGGAGCTCTTGCGGGTTGAGTTGCTCCACGCGGGTGATGCAGGCTCAACTGCCATCTCTGCTCACATGCCCGGGGCCTGGCTAAGCCCTAAACCTGAAACCCTAAACCCTAAACCCCAAACCCCAAACCCTAAACCCTATACCCTAAACCCCAAACCCTAAACCTAGGATGCCCAGTAGCACTCTTGTTCCCTTTTTGGGGGTGTTTAGGTTCCCTTATAAACCCCTTTAGGCAAATGAGGGCACCCTTCTTAATCCTAGGTTACTAAACAACCTATTCACTAAGCCCCAAACCCCAGAATTGCAAGCCTTTTCTTCCCTTTGTTTGGGAAGGAGCCCTTGGGAATCCTAGGTTGCTTGGGATACCACAGTAGCACGGGCTGCTTCAACCAAAAACCGATGTTCCTGCACTGTGATTGCAGCCCCCCCCCCCCCCCCAAGTGTTCCGAAGCTTCGAGGCATTTCATGACTAGCATCCCCAAAAGTGGTCTCAACAAGATTGGTAAGGTTTCTGTAAGGAACCCTACAGTATTCGCACTCACCACAAACCCTAAACCCCACCCCACTCGCCTGCTTGAGTCAGATGGCGACCGAGGAGAGTTGGCACCAACCCTAAACCCTGAACCCCAAACCCTAAACCCTAAACCCTAAACCAATATTGCAAGGTCCAGTGCCGTGAATGGCAAGGCTTTGCCAGCGAGTCTGAAGGCCGGGAACATTCTAAGGTGATGTAGGGTTTAGGTTTAGGGTTTGGGTGCAGGGTTTGGGGTTTAGGGTTTAGGGTGGTTTAGGTAGTTCCCTTATGGTCCCTTTAAGAATTTACTATGATAGCCCCCCAAAACCCTGTTCCATAATCCGTAGGCCCCCTAGAGTAGGGCGCATGGCTTGTGGTTGAAGCGGGATTGAGGGTTTGGCTTGTGATTACATGGTCTAGGGTTTATGCGCATCTTGGATGTCTTGGTACTTAAGGGTTTAGGGTTTAGGGTTAGGGTTTAGGGTCTAGGGTTTAGGGTTTAGGGTTTAGGGTTTAGGGTTTAGGGGTTTAGGGTTCAGGGTTCAGGGTTTAGGGTTTAGGGTTTAGGGTTTAGGCTTTCTGTCTAATGAGGCTCGGGGTTCGGATATGTTGGGTAGAGCCTTTCGGATGTCAAGGGCGGTTTGAGGGTTTTGGTTTAGGGCTTGGTTCGTTCTTCGGGTTTGGGGGGTTGAGGTTTACAAGCCCTAAACCCTAAACCCTGAACCCTGAACCCTAAACCCGAAGCCCTAAACAGTCCGCAGGGGCTTGTGGGGTAATTCCCCAACTCGGCATCCCGGGGCTGACCAGAGCCCAGGTTTTGAAGCCCCCGCCCTGAATCCCACTGAGGACTTGAGGATTTAAGGTTTAGTGTTTAGGGTTTAGGGTTTAGGCTGGTTTAGGGTTCAGGGTTTTGGGCTTTAGGGTTCAAGGTTCAGGGTTTATTGCCAGTTCTCTTAAACATAGTCGTCTTTTCAACAGGGAATGACCTCAGAGCCTTCTACTGCCTGGACCCCAAGCCGTGCCCTTGGTTTCGTAAACCCTATACCCTACCCCTAAACCCTATACCCTACCCCTAAACCCTAAACCCTAAACCCTAAACCCTAAACCCTAAACCCTAAACCCTAAACCCTAAACCCTAAACCCTAAACCCCTGCTTCTTTCCTATCCCCTTTTACACAACAACGGCGACCCTTTCACTCTTGGAGAGCCGGGGGAACCTCCGAGCGCCTGAACTGGGCCCTGAACCCAGGAGGTTTAGCCACACATCCCCCACCCTTTGTTTTCCAAAAGCAGACAGCAGACAAGCCCTAAACCCTAAACCCTAAACCCTAAACCCTGAACCCTGAACCCTAAACCATCTTTTCTGAAGCCTTATGCCCTATAGCAATTCGCCCCGGTCTGGCGGAGGTGAAGAACACCTTCATTGACGTCCGGCCAGATTGTGTAGACGATGACGACTATGACGACACCGTCTCCGCAGCGGCTACCCCAGAAGTGTTTGGGTTTAGAGGCCTTCTGAGGTTCTAGCTTACTGTTGGTTACGTAGTAATCCCTATAGAGCTCTTTTTTGCGCTTTTCACCCTTGGAAGATGGGCCGACAGATGCACCTTACAAGCACGACCACGGACCCTTGTCCCCGCTTTTTGTCTGCATGGAGGGTCAATCATTCGCCTGGGTCTCAGTAGGGAATCAGGGAATTAGGTAGCTTATTTCCCTTGTGAAAACCCCTAAACCCTAAACCCTTTCAGGAATTCTACAGGGTACCTCATTCCCTCATTCCCTATTAAGAACCTCAAGGGACTCAAGAAGGGACCATCATAAGAGACCCTAGAGGAATACTTAGGTATGTAGGGCCTATGTGAGGTATGTAGGGGCCATATAGGGGAATAAGACAAAGGGTCCTTCCTTATGCCGCTCAAGAACCGGCAAGTCACGCTTCCTAAGGAAATATGCAAGGGCCATATCCTGCATGGGCTATTATACCCTATAACCCCTTGAAAAGGCCCTTTATAGGGTTGGTTAGGGGGATTATAAGGCCTAATAGCCCATGCTGGATTAGGGGTGTATTAAGGGAAACCTTTTAGGGGTGCATCCTTGGGGGTACGGGAGCCAGTAAGCCCTTCATGTTGCATGATCGAGGCAGCCTCAATGATGAAACAACGGCAGGCGCGGGACGATAACTGGGGAACCAGCCGACGCCATTCTCCTTTCTAAGCCCTCAGCCCTAAACGAATCCTGTGCGCAGAAAGCCTTCGTGCCTAGGCCAAAAAGTCTGACTGCACGGCCCTGAACCGAATTAAACCACCAAAGCCCTAAACCCCAAACGCCCAACCCTAAACCCTAAACCCTAAACCTCCACAGCTTACCACCGTCAAAATAGGTTTAGGGTTTGGGAGGCAGCTTCAGGTGAGTCAGTTCCCCTGTATGACCCGTGCCTTCGTAGCCTTCCACTCCCCAAAAGCGTACTTGGAGGTTCATGGGACTCAATAACCACTTATAACTGGGCTTATAACCCTACTTATAATTGGAATAGCCCTTATAAGGCCCTTTAGTGGTATTATAAGTAGGGCTATAAGTACAGGTATAAGTGGTTAGTAAGTACCATGAACCTTCAAGTACTGGCTCTTGGTAGGGAATGAGGAATTAGGTACCGCATAGAATCGGTCCCTTACAGAGTTTATACAGGTACGGAACTATAGGTAAACTGTAGAATCCTAGAAAAGGTTTCTGTGGAGAGACAAGGTACATAGTTCCTTCGTTCCCCACTAAGTGGCGGCAGGTTTGGGGTCCCCAAACCCACCCAAATTCCAAACCCTACACCCTAGACCCTAGCAGTACCCTAAACCCCAAACTCCAAACCACAGACCAATCCCCAACCCCCAATCCCTAGACCCGAAACCCAAGAGGTGCCCTAAACCCGGAATCCTCTAACCCTCACTCCTGCCAGTTCTCTGAGCCGGCGCCGACGTGTGGTGCTTACAGGGTAGAGTTTTTGGTCTTTGGGTTCAGGGTCTAGGTCATGGGCCTCTACCTTGGACTCCTAAGGTTCTACCCTTGGGTTTGGGGACCCTTTTCCAGATGCTCTAATGTTATATAAGCGCCATGTTAGGAGTATATATATATATATATCCTGAGAAATTACTACGTTCATTCACATCCTATTCACAGGGTGTTGGAGAGCGTATTCTTATCTTAGTTCCAGAGTCAGTTGATAGTAGGATGTGAACAGACAAGTGACCACATTTCCCACAGCCCTAAACCCTAAACCCCTAAACCCGAAACCTTTATTACTGGAGCTGCAGCTGGAACCCTTAGTGTCTTAGCTTCGTGACAACAGTTGCATGCGTCCTTCAATTTTTTCCCCAAAAGCCCCTAAACCTAAACCCCTAAACCCTAGTTTTGCCCCTCAAGGATGCATGAATTTGCGTAGCGACTGAGGCGTGCCCCTGAATTCTAAGGTTTAGGGTTTAGGGTTTAGGGTGTTTAGGGTTTAGGGCCTTTTCCCAACCTTTTGGTCTTTATCTTCACCACCCGTAATAATATTATGAGAGAATGTGCGTGAATCAAAAGAAAGACAAGTGAAATGAGTGTACAACAAATAAATTATGTGCACGCCAAGTCCTTTCTTATTACGCGTGCACGCATAAAAAGAACAAAGGAAAAGATGAGTCCGAGTATGACTCCCTTGACTAGGGCGGACTCATATGGCGGTAATACTGTCTTCAGAGCTTATATTAGGGTTTAGGGTTTAGGGCTTAGGGTCCAGGGTTCAGGGCTTAGGGGGTCTTTCGAGAGCATTCGACGTTTAGCGTTCTCACGGCTTTAGGGAGTTTAGGGTTGATGCTGACTTGCGTTTTCAGGCTTGAATGTGCGTTTATCATAGGGCTCTTAGAGCGTTTATCAAGGGACTGAAGGAGGGACCCTGGCCGGGACCTTAGGGTAATTTAGGGGCTACTTAGCTAATAGGGACTGTACAAGTTATGTATATATATATATATGTATATGCATAGGGGTCATAAAGGGGAATTAAGATTAAGGGTCCCTTCTACTTGTTCTTTGAGCTTTGAATCGGGTTGCCATGGTGTTGAGTTTTCTTCTCGCGTTCGCGGCGTCAAGCCCAGAGATATGTGATGCGTTGTAACGTGGTGTTCCGGTTCAGTGGAATCTGGGTGGGTCACAGTTTTTTCCCTGTTAAAATGGCAAAACGGGTTAGGTCAGGTACTCCCTTTTCTCCCTTAAGCCCTACACCCTAGACCTGACCGCCCATCTGCCCAGGCGCCAGTTTTCTTCCCGCCAAACCTCCAGCACCGAAATGACTGGGGGGCCCAGTTGGGAGAGAATGCGGTTTTGGGCGTAGGGTTTGGGGTTTAGAGTTTTGTAGGGTGAAGGTTAAGGTTAGGTTAGGTGTCTCAGGATGCTGGAACTGGGTATGGTAGACAAAGGCAATGGTGCAGCTCTGGCGGTTTGGAGTTGAGGGTTTGGGGAGGGTGGGGTGGATTGAGGCTTTGGGGCTTATAGGTACCACCCAAGACCCTGTAATTGAGAGTGTTTAGGCTCTCTGGGCACCCTAAACCCTAAACCCTAAGCCCTAAACCCTAAACCTTGAACTCCAGATTACAGGCTTGCGGTTTAAGGTTCAGCTGCTTTTGGGGCGGCTGGGTGGCTGGGGGCTTCCTTGCTAGGCGGTGCCTTCATCTGAAACCCTGAGCCCAGAACTTACTAAGCCGTAAACTGTAAACCCTAAACTCCAGATGCACTGAAGCTTTCTGTTTGGTCCGGCAAGAGGCTTCCAGGGTTCATGGGCCCCGAACAGCCCTAATCTAGATCCTACCCAACACCCCAAACCCTCATCGTGGCGCTCCAACCGCTCCCTTCGGCAACAACAACTTGGCTTTCTTCTGGCTGGCTCTTAGGACTTCAACTTTTGGGGATTTTGGTAGAAACTACAATAAGGGACCTAAAAGTTAAAATCTTAGGAGGGGTTCAGAAGTCAGCCAAGACAAATGCACACAAAAAGCAATCCGCGATTGCAGGTGCAGAGTCATGTCAGCGGTTGAGGGGTCAGAGTCTGTAGCGAGTTTTTGGGTTCAGGGTTGACACGAAACCTCCCGACAGTCTGGGTCGCCCGAGGCACGCCCCGATCTCAATGCTGGGCCCGAACAGCTTGGTGGAGGATTTCCATTGCTGGCGTTGGGTGGTTAAGGGCGTCTAGGATGTAGGGTTGGGATGTTCCCCCTTCTAGTAACAGCCCCTAGTTAGTATGGATTATAGTACCCCCTAGTATAATCCCTATTAAGGACTGTTAGAATAAGGGGGAACATCCCAGATGTAGGGTTTAGAATGGCTTGGGTTTAGGGTTTGTGTTTAACGTTTAGAGCCTACAGTTTAGAGGGTCTTTACAGTTGTACAGGGATGGTCTTGTGAAGCCCTAAAGCCTAAACCCTAAACCCTAAACCCTTATGTCTCTGTCTTTTCGATGCTGTGTGGTTGAAGTGCAGGGTTAAGGGCTTCAGGTTTGTGAGGTTACTACTAATTGCTTAAGAACCCCTCCAAAGAAACACAAAAACATCTCCCCTACAAGGGAAATATAGGGATTGTTTTTTTTTTTAGTTCTTTTGGGCTTCTTAAGCAAATAGGAATTTAGGGGTCAGGATGCAGCTCTTGGGGAGATGTCACCGGAAATGTCCTCGAATTTTGAAGGTTTCCGTCCTCTCCTGTTTGCTTTACAGCAGTCATAAGTACAAGGAACCAGTGGGGGGTGTAACGGATGGGGGTGGGTATGGGGCCCATTTTTGCCTTAGTGCGGCGGGTTAAGCGCTTATTTGGGCTTGCTAAGGCGTTATCGGCATGTGGGCCCTTGAAATCCACCCATAGCCGCGGCCCGTAGCCCTAAATCCTAAACCCTCACCCCTCCACCCACCCCATGCACTTTTTCGTGGTTCCTTGTGAAGTCGTCCTCAAGACCGCGTATGTATGTGATCTCCTGCATCTTAAGCCCCCGCAGTCCATACAGCCCACAACCTAAGCCCTAAAGCCCTAATCCCCAAACCCTAAACCCTACACCCCAAACTCGAAACCCTAAACCCTCTTTCCCTCATTGTCAAGGCCTAACGTAGCTTTCGAGAGTTTCAGGTCGCTCTTAAGTCCTTTCTACTTAGAGGTTCATGGGTACCTGTAAGTAGGGTTCTAGGGTTTAGGGTTTAGGGTTTAGGGATTAACTGTTCAGGGGATAGGGGTTCGGGGTATTGGTAGTTATCATACTTCTAACCCTACTGAAAACTACCCATGCACCTCCAAGTAGACGACCTCTCCGCCTTCGGCCTAGAATACGGTTCCTGCCGCAGTCACATTTGCTCAATGCCGCGTATAGTGCCGTATCTGCCTCACTCAGCTGTGCACGGTATTAGGGTTTAGGGTTTAGGGTTTAGGGTTTAGGGTTTAGGGTTTAGGGTTTAGGGTATCTTGCTCCAACCATGGAGAACTCTAAGCTCCATGAACCCGGAACACCGGAACACAAGCTTGGGTTGAGTTCAGGCATGCTGGTGCAGTGAGCGACTAAGCCCACAAAGCCAAGAAAGAAAGCCTGAAGCCTAGACTCTAAAACCCTAGACCCGAGCCCAAACCCTCAACACCCAAACCTCTGAACCCCTTACAGCCGAAAGCCCAAGACCCTGCACCCCACCCTGTAAGCCCTAAAGCCAAACCCCTAAACCTTGCAACCCTAAACCCTAAAACCTAAACCCTAAACTTCTAAACCCTAGACCCTAAACCCTACACGTTGAACCTTGCAACCCCTCAGCCTGCAACATGGTCGCCATTCCGGAGCTTCCGGCAGATGCGCGCTTCGTCCGGGCGCGTGCCCCTAGTGACCAGTGCTGTCGGCTTGAAGGTTGGGTTTAGAGTTTAGGGTTTAGGTTTTAGGGTAGAGTTTAGGGTTTAGGGCTTACTTACTGTTGGTTAGTAGGCAATGAGGCAATGAGGTACCCTATATAATCCCTTAAAGGGTATATATAGGGCCCTAATTCCCTCATTCCCTGCTAACCAACAGTAAGTTTATGGGTTTGGGGTTTGGGGTTCAGGCTTTGAGGAATATTGCAGGTTTAGGCCTTGGGGTTGAGGGTTCACGGCTTGAGGAGTATTATGGAGTTTAGGGTTTTGGTTCAGGGCTGAGGCGGGAACAACATAGGGCCTCTAGGGCTTCTTCGTTTGTTATAGCGCTCATTTTCAGGGTCTGAACTTAGGTTTATGGGGCCGGCTTAGGCCATGTAGGCTTTAGAGGGGTTTCAACAGGGCTTACACGGCTTAGGATAAGTTAGTGTCCCCCCCAGCCAATTAGGTTTAGGGTTGGTTTAGGGTTTCGGGTTCGCAGGGTTTAGGGGTCACCTTAGTATCTCTCAGATTCAGGAACAGACCTTAGTTCACAAGAAGTAAGGAAAATTATGTAGGGGTTTTGGGCAGAAGTCGTAAGAAGGTTGTAATTCTCAGTTTGGGTTATCGACCTTTTCTCTGGGCTCGGGCTTACGCTTTATTGTTTGCTGGCTTGATGGGGGCCCGCAAGGTGTAAGGCAGCAGGTACAAGGCCCTCCTTGCGATGGTTACCCTAAACCCTAGCTAGAATTATCACCCTATAATTAGGGGACTTATATCCCTACTTCTTCTTTCCCATGAACCCACCAAGTATGGGGCGGTTAGTGTTAATTTTGGGCCATATTGGGTCTCGAGGACTAAACCCTAAACCCTAAGCCAGAGCCCTTCAAATTTAGGCTTGGGCTGAGATCCTAGCAGTTTAGGGTTTAGGGTGTAGGGTGTAGGGTGTAGGGTTTAGAGTTTAGGGTTTAGGGTTTGGGGTTTAGAAATTGGTGTTCGGTTTAGGGTTTAGGGTTTAGGGTTTAGGGTTTAGGGTTTAGGGTTTAGGGTTTAGGGTCATCGACGCGTGCGGCTCAACAGCTCTGGTGGTGGTCTCCATGTGTGGCAGTGTAGCATGCTGCAGGAGATGATAAGTGGTGGTCAAAAGAGGCCCTAAACCCTGAAACCCCCAACACCCTAAACCCTAAACCCTAAACTCTGAAAACTCCCAAACCCCCAACCTTTGACAGCTCTGGGTCAAGAAGAAGGTTAAACAACGAAGGGCCGAAGTAAGTTTCTTGTTCTGGTCGCCATTGTCAGCGGTTTTGGGGTTTCCGGACTAGTTCTAGGTTCATCTTCGGGGGGCTTTCAGGTGTTCGGGTTAACTAGTGCTTCAGGGCTTCCTTCATTCTGTTCCCCCTTATACTAACAGTCCTTAATAGGGATTATAGTACCCGTTAGCATAAGGGGGAAAGCCAAAAACTGTATGCTTTAGCTGCTAATTGTGTTTAGGGTTTCGCTCCCTCGTTGCCGCAAGCGGCGGGCCCAAAGAAGGCCCGCGCGGCATCCTTAGTGTCTGGGACTCAGGGTTTAGGGTATAGGGTTTAGGGTTTATGGTTTAGCGTCTTGGACTCAGATGGTGTTTGCCGGCGGTTTTAGGGATATGGGTTGGGAGGTTCCCCCTTATACTAACGGTCCTTAATAGGGATTATATAATACCCCCCTCTATTATAATCCCTATTAAGGACTGTATGAGGGGGAACATGCCAAGTTATCGGGTTTAGGATTAGGGTTTAGGGTTGGAGGATAGCTGCGAGGGGAATAGAAGCTCTAGGGGTATAGGCATCTAGAGGATTCAGCAGTAAAAGGTTGGGTTTGTTTGGCTCTGCTCGTGGTATCGAGACATGGGGCAGTAGGCACGGCGACAAAACTGCGCGCTTGGGTTCTACGTGTCGGTGGTCTCTTTAAGTAGGGTTTCTGTTTTATAGGGGCTAGGATGCCCAGTAGTGCCCTTATTCCCTTTTTAAGCAAAAAAGGGCACCCTTTTTAAGCCTAGGTTACTGGGCAGCCTAGGGGGGTTCTTATAAGGGTATCTAGGGGCCATATTAAGGTATCAGGCCACCAGCCTGTACAACGCTTGGGGGGCTGAACTCTGCTTGGAGGTTCATGGTAGAGATTAGCCAATTCGAGCTGTACTTCTAACTTATAACTGTTCTTATAACTTATAACTTATAACTTATAACTTATAACTTATAACTTATAACTTATAACTTATAACTTATAACTTATAACTTATAACTTATAACTGTACTTATAACCATATTAGGGCACTTAGGGGGCTTACAAGTGGGTTATAAGGGATAGCTTATTCGGGTCCTTCTTATAAGGGACTATCATAAGGGTCCAACCCCCCCATAGTCGATTAAAAACATGGGCAGACATGGGGTTTGGGAGCCCTTTTGAGTTGGCAAGTCTACGTAAGTATCCCCCTAGAGACCCTATGTTCATCCCCATAAGCCAACTTACCAGCCCTACTTCCGAAGTCAGAGAAGCGGCCCAAGGATCGGGAAAGAGTTTAGGGTTTGGGGTTTAGGGTTTGGGCCTAAGGGTTTAGGTTTGTATTTCGGAGGTTTCCTAGGACCATCAGTGCCGGAAAGCAACACCATCTCTCGCTGTTGTGCCTTTCTCTTGTTCATGATCTTTGTCTTTTCTCTTTTGTCTTGCAGACGTTATTGGTTATCTCTCCCTTTTTCTCTCTGTCTCTTTCTCTCTCTCTCTCTCTCGAGTACATTTTCTCGGCAAGCGTCATCCGAGCCCCTTCGACCAACCCCAGATCCTTAATTCGTCCCCAGCCTTAAGCTTTCAACTTCCCATGCGTGCCCTGCAGGTACGCTCCCCCTTTCCGTTGCAACTATGATTTAGGGTGTCCTAAACCAGTTAGGGCCTTTAAGCCTCTGGTCCGATCTAGGGGCGCCCTCTTTTAGAGAGAGCCACGCCTTCCCTGAAGCTGCATCCTGCACTACCGTGCCCGGGCCCAGTCGACCCCTAAACCCTAAACCCTTAACCCTGAACCCTGAACCCTAAACCCTAAACCGAGCACCAATTTCTAAACCCTAAGCCCTAAACCCTAAAGCCTACACCCTAAGGGCATAAGCTGCCACGCATGCAAAGCAAAGAAGCATGCCCCGCTCCTCCCGAACGCCCACATCCTAAACTCGACGCCCTAAACTACCGTTTAGGGTTTAGGGTTTGGGGTTTAGGGTTTGGGGTTTGTGGTTTAGGGTTTAGGGTTTAAACTTCCCCCCCCAAAAAAAAAACAAGACGAGA